GGAGAGGACCGAAAGCAGAGGGGAAGGAGGGCGGGTGGTGCGAATGCACAGATGACCACTCGAAGATCGTCAGTTACAGGTAAGCAACCTGTTTATCTTCTTCGTGGTCTCTGTGCATCACACCTCTGGGAGAATAGCAAGCAGTAAACAAGCTCACCGGAGGCGGGAGCTGAAGGTCCTAGACTTGCGCCGCCTGCAACCCTGCCCGTCCCACCACGGAGCGTCGATGAAGACACCCACCCAGGGCGTAAAGCTTCACAAGCATGTGGGGGGTGGGTGGGTGACCCATGCTGCTGCTTGACAGATGTCAGTGAGCAGCGGACCTCCCAAGGAAGCTGTAACAAGCCCACTGCCCAGTGGCAAGTGCTCACAGAGGGCCCGGGAGTAGCCATTTAGCTAGAAAGTAACACAGTAGATGGTTCCCCACTGGCCTGTTTATCTTCCCCACTGGCCCCACTGGTGGACCTCCTGATGGCACTGGTATTTCTGACCACTGTGTGACACAGAGTGTTGGACTGGATGGGTCTTTGGCCTGCAACATTGGCGTCTCTTATGTTCTTATGTTCCACAATTCACCTAGATAGAAGTTGCTAAGAAACCTCTTCCTTGCGCAGGTGTGCTATAAAAGACAAACAAGACCGGTGACTGACGGAATTACCTTGTTCCATCGGGGTAGAAGAGTGTAGCTCTCTTAACATCCAGAGCATGAAGCCGGCATTCATCGTCACTCGTAGGGGACGGGAAAACATTGGAAGAGCAATGCAAGCTCACAAATAGAACTTGGAACAACCTTGGGCAGGAAAGAGACATTCGAGGCCAAGGTGACACCATCAAGTAGAAAATCCAATACGGAGAGTCACAATGGAGTGCAGACAATACTCTCACTCATCATGCTGAAGTGACGGCTACAAGGAAAGGCAGTCTTCCATGAGAGAAGCTGCAGACTAGACTCGGCCATGGACACAAACAGTTGTGTGTTGGTCTGGACAGCACTAGATGTAAGTCCCGGAAGGGAGTCAGCCCACTAGCCAGAGGAAAGAGCCGAGTGAAACCCATTAGAACTGCTTTGCTTGCAAGTGTGAAAAAAATGGAATAACTGTCCACCACAGGATGATTGGTGTAGGTGGTGGCCAAAAAGGTTCTTAAAGAAAAACAACTAAGACCCAACTCCAGGTGGGTCAACACTAATCTGAAGAGTACCCTCAAGCCCGAATGGGGTGGTGATAAACCCAATGACCCAAGGCAAAGTGAAAGCTTCTTCCACTTCCGTTCAAAGGCAGCACGTGTAGCTGGCTGCCAACAGTTCGACAGGACTAGATCAATCCCGCTAATACAGTGCTATAAGCTCGAGGTGTGGTACAGTGCGAAGCACTATAAGCTCGAGGTGTGGTACGGTGCGAAGCACTCTTCCCTCCTGAGCCAGGAGGAGATCCGGAGCCTGGGGGAAAAGGTATGTATGTGACCCAGGACATGCGGAGTAGAGTAGGGAACCAGTGCTGACATGGTCACCATGGTGCCACGAGGATGCGTTGAGGTAGCTCCTTCACGATCTTGCTGGGATCGTGGGAACAGGTAAACATGCCAATGAGGCCCTGGGCCGTTCCCCCGAGACATTGGGTCTTGTCCTGCCCTGGACCAGACAGACAGATTTCTGGGTGATCCCACCTGTGGCAAACCGGTCGTAGGTAAGCCCAATCGAGCTCCCGCTCATGGAGGGATGCACCTCCCCTGCTCAGGACGTCTGCTTACACCTAGAGCGATCCTAGCAGGTGAGTGACAGCGAGGAACATGTCCCGGGATTGACACTCAGTCCAAATCTCTCGGACCAGTGGACAGAATCCCCTGAACACTGTTCCGCCTTGCCTGTTCGGGCAACACGGTGCGGTGGTGTTATCTGCCAGGCTTGCCACCGTACAGTGGGACACAAGGTGGTGAAAAGACCTAGTGTATACTGGACAGCGAGCAGTTCCAGGAAATTGAGGTGATTGTAGGCCACACGAGGTTCCCATTTGGTACCCACACACAAACCTTGGGTTTGAACTCCCCCATCCCCACAGGGATGCATCCGTGGTAAGGTCAGTTTGGGGCTCGGGCTGGAGTTTCCCATGTAGGGCCTCATCTATAGTTTAGCGAAGACAAGTACCACTGTGGCAGCAGCCATCAGACCCAATAGCTGCGGGATCTGCTGTGCTAACGCATCTCCCCGTGGATGAGAGCAATAATGCCTCCCCCCTATTGGCGGGAGAAAGGCTCGACAGACAGACGAATCCAAAATTGCTCCGATAAACTGGACTCTCAATGACAGGAGGAGCACTGACCTTTTTGAGGTTCACCCTCAGGCCCAACGCATCAAGGGTAATCGGCATTGAATTGACATGGTTGAACAGGGTTCCTTTGGAGCTTGCTACCAACAACCAATCATCTCAGAACGGAAAGGTCCGTACACTCTAAAGGAGGAGGCATGCCGCGATGACAAGTGTTATGTCTCTAAAGACTCTGGGCACTGTCGAGAGCCCAAAAGGGAGGGCTTTGTACAGAAAAAAAGCCCTCTGCGACTGCAAGACACAACTGTGAGATGGGTCGATATTCATATGAGAATATGCGTCCAGCAAGTCCAGGGTCACCATCCAACACCTTCACAGAGAAGGGAAGGAGATGTAATAATGTTGCCGTACAGAATTCCCAATAGGAGATAAACTGGTTGAATCCTCAGAGATCCATAACAAGACAGGATCCTCTGTCCTATTATGGGGACTGTAAAGAACAGGAGTAGAACCTGTGCTGACGTTGAGCCGTCAGAGCTGGGTCTGTAGCGCCCTTTGGGGAAGGTTCTGAATTCCTTCCAGGAGCGTAGTGGATGGTGGATTAATTATGAAGTTGGGGCCAGAGGTGCCTGGACAAATTCTAAGGGGTACAGGAGTCAAAGGCCCTGCTTGGAAGCTGTCGAAGTCTCAGCCACAAGCTGAGAGACAGAGGACAAATTTGATGTGTGCCCATAAGGGCGGGAAGGCACAGTGGATGAGCAATGCCACTGTATTTCCGGAGATGACATGACTCCTAAATTGCTCGACACCTGTATTTTTGTCAAGATCTTGCAGGGCCATGTCAATCGTGGTGCTGAAAAGGCTCTCACCTTCGAACGACCGTTGGTACTCACCGTGAGAGGTCCTTCTCCTCTGAGAACTGGAGGACATCCAACTGTGATTCCCATCCTTCTTCCAGGGAGGCAGGACTTCCAAGAACTTCCTGTTTCCTGGTGGGAGTCACCCTCATCCTCAGTTCAGGTACTCCGAAAAGCAGTGATACTCAAAAAACATAATTAATTCACATAACATGATCCTTAGACTCATAGAGTAGGGAACAGAACTATCACTACACAGTCAGGAGTTCTTGGTTCCTCTCTTTCCGGAAAGGTATTATATACATAGGTTATATACATAGGTGAGATACATAGGTTAGTATGACAGCCGGAACACAGATACAGAGCCTGACGCTTCCTTACTTACGCATGCTGACGACCTGGGAGGGCCGGGATGTCCTCCAGTTCTCAGAGGAGAAGGACCTCTCACGGTGAGTACCAACGGTCGTTCTCCCTCTGAGCTGGAGGACATCCAACTGTGAGACCTTCCCGAGCAGTGTCCCTAATTACGGGGTGGGTGGTCGTCTGGATGCGGAAGTACTGACTGCAGTACTCTTCTGCCGAAGGCTGCGTCCGCTGAATCGTATGCGTTGATCTTGTGTCTAATGAATGTGGATAGTGACGTCCAAGTCGCCGCCTTGCAGATCTCTTCGACTGATGCTCTGTTGCAGAGAGCTGCATTCGTGGCTGCGCTACGGAGAGAGTGTGCCGTGATCCCAGAGGGCACTTGCTGTCCGCTATGCTTGTACGCTTCGGCGATACAGGTCTTTAGTGTTGCGCTCAAGGCTGATTTGGACATCTTGTGCCCTTTATTGGGGGTCGAGACGTTGATGAAGAGGGCTTCCGTTTTTCGGAACGGCTCTGTTTGTCGGACGTATCGCTTAAGCGCTCTGCGGACGTCCAGTGTGTGCCAGATCCTCTCTGTGGGATGGACCGGATTGGGGCAGAAGGAGGGGAGATATATCTCCTGGGAGTTGTGGAAAGTGGAATTCACCTTGGTACTAAAGGTGGGGTCAGTCCTAAGCACCACTTTCTCTTTGTGAAAAATGCACAGGTCTGAGCGCACGGAAAGGGCCCCTAGCTCCGACACTCGTCTGGCAGAGGTTATGGCCACTAAGAACAGGGTCTTCATTGTTAGGAACTTCAGTGATGTTTCTCGGAGCGGTTCGAAGGGGGCCTTTGTTAATGCGATGAGGATGGTGTTCAGCTTCCACGTGGGGAACCTATGTTGTACCCGTGGGGATCGCGCGCAGGCCCCTCTAAGGAATCTGCTGACGTGGGGGTGCCTGGATATTGGCATATTCCTGTAATGAGGTAATACGGTTGACAGTGCCGCCGCTTGCCTCTTCAGGGTCGCTGGCCTGAGTCCTCTGCTCATGCCGTCTTGTAGGAA